GCGGAGCCCCGTGAGCGCCGCGGCCGTCCCGGTGACGCTGTCCCGGTGGCGCTGCCCGGCCGCGGTGCCAGGCGCCGCCGCGCAGACTTTACCCTCCGAGCCCTCTCTGCCGCTCCCTGAGCGGCTCCTTGTTGCCCGGCCGCGCTCCCTGCGGATCCGCGCCCGGCCTGGCCGAGGAAGCCGGGATGGCGCCTCTGGGCTCTGCCGCCTCAGGCGAGTTGAAACTTCTGCCAAGCGCCAGCTCAGCCGCTGCGCCCCAAGGGACAACACGAGCTGGTGGCAGCTGCAGAGGAGCCGGGTGCCAAGTGTAAGGTTTGAGTGCCCCCGAGGTGTGGGAGATGCCCCCTTGGAGCCACCTCCTGGCACGTCGCAGTTGGGGGATCAGGACCCTTCCCCAGCTGTGTCAACGCTCCTGCCGTGTGCAGGCAGCCAGACCTCTCTGGCTGCTGTCTCAGCTGCTGCTTCCTTCACTTCCTTTACGTGCACCCTTTCCTCTAAAGAGCTGCTGCTGTTGTGCAATCCTTGCTTTGCTCCCCCTGTAATTTATAGCTGGCCAGAAAAGTCTGTTTGCGTCGGGAGAACAGCTTAAAATTATCACCCTCTCTAATTTTGGGGATTAGAGTCTCCAGCCTTAGGCGCCCTGGTTAGGCTGGGGAAGTGAAGCTGGATGTAAGGTTGCCTGATTAGCGGCGTGTAAGAGGAGACGAAGCCCTGGCATTAGTTTCCTCTCCTCGCTTGCGTTGGCTCTCTCTTTGGCAATATGCACCGGGTAGTAGCTCTCGCTTGCTTTGTCTTGGCCAACACAGTGTCTGTTCCCATGGAAATGGGAGTGGAAATGGCAAGTGTCAGCAGAGAACTTGGTCTGGATCCTCTCTGGTGAGCGGAGCGCGGGCGCGCGGGCGCTGTGCGCGGTCCTGCCCCGTGCCCGTGCAGCGTCGCTGGAGGCAGAAATGGTTGGTTTGTGTTTGCCCAGCCACCCTGAGCTGTGCGAAGTCCTGGCTCAGGTCCAGGTGCTCTGGGAGCTGCTGTCGCTCTGTCTTTCACCTCTGAACAAGGAGAAGCAGATGTTACGATTGAGGTTTTTCTCAGGTGTCGGCCTATTTGAGGTGTTTCTTGGGTACTTCTTTGCTCAGAAATGCCCTTTTCAGCAGGGTGGTTACAATGTTCAGGTTGTGAAGCTGCAGCTGGCAGGGCTGCTGGTGCTTTTGAAATCGGCATGCACATCCTTACCACTTCCTCCTTTTTGGTTTCAAGACGATGGGCATTGTGTGGCTGTGATGAGAAGACGGGTTTTGTAAGATGTGTCTGATGCTTTTTGCCCTTTTGCCATCCCCCACGCTTTGGCCTAGGTGGGAGCCATTGACTTCTAATCCAAATTTGTTACGTGCACTTTGGTTGTGTCCTGCAGAGTTTGTAACTGGAAACACCGCAAAAATATTCTAGGTGGTTTTCCTCTTCGAAGCAGGATCTTGTGGCCACGTCCTTTGGCTCTGTGCCCGGTCTGTGAAACTAGATCTCCCTTGTGAAACGGTGCTAGTGGGTTCCTGCTTCTCAGACTGCAGCACGTCCCTTCACAGGACCCGGGTGCTGGGGTTTCAGCTACCTGTGTTCTTGCTCCAGCAGTGTGTCCTCACGCTCAGCGCACGAAGCGGGAATGGTCTGACTAGAGCAGCAAGTGCCACAGCCGCCTAGGGAATTAAGCACCAAAGATTATAGAAAATCTCTTCCCTGTGCCTCAAACTAACCTTTCCTCTCACTGTTTTGTGGTTGAAACTCAGCTTCTGACTATGGCATGAAACTGCCCATCCTGCGATCCAACGCGGAAGACCAGATCCTGTACCAGACTGAGCGTTACAACGAGGAGACCTTTGGCTACGAAGTTCCCATCAAGGAGGAGGGCGACTATGTGCTGGTTTTGAAGTTCGCTGAGGTCTATTTTGCACAGTCTCAGCAGAAGGTAAGTGGCAGCCCCACGCCACTGAGACCTGCCTTTCTCTCTAATGCGAGTTCCTGCCTAGGACTGGGCATGTTCAGGTTGCCTCTGCTGCCTCGTGCACTGTGGTTTTTCCTGTGCCCTAGAGAAAGGAGTGAAATGAGGTACGAAAGTTTAACCTCATCCCTAAAGACTCAGGAGTGTGTCCTGAAACATGGAGTTGTCTTCCAGGTTCCAGATATAAGTTGGGCCTGGAGAAGTACTCTGCAAAAGGAGTGCTCTCTAGCAAATGCATGCAACTAAACATAACCAATGCCAGAATTTTATGATCTATTTTAAGTTGTTCTGTCTTTGAGGAAAAGTATGTTTGTGTTTTTTCTTCTTTGCTTGTTCCTACCTCTGCCGCATCCCTGTGATGGCAGAACTGCTGCCCACTTGGTACTAGGAAAGTGATCAGATCAACTTAAAGTTGAGGGGGTGCAATAAAGCTCTGTGCTTGCTCAAACTGATCTTGAGAGTACGAAGTTCAATTCAACCCTCATTAGAGCACTTTGGAGTGAAAGATCCTTGTCCACCTTTGAAATTCAGGGGCAGAAACAGAAAGAACTCAAAGCCCTGTGATAAACTGAGAGGGAAGTGGTGTGTGCCTTAATCTGGCTTTCTCCCCACTCAGTGAGCTGCTTCGAGCCCTGTTCCTGAGGTGCTGTGTGGCCTTCTGCCACAGAAGTATTTCACAGAGCACAACTGGTGGAGCTGGCTTGCTGAATGGGTGCAAAAAGTAGTCTGGGATTAAACTGAAGGGCTGAGGCACCTTTTGGCTCCTCTTTCTTGATGTGGTTGTGCTGGGATTTCCCAGGTGCTGAGCTCAGCCTGAGTCACTGCCGCCGCAAGGAGGACTTTCGCTCAGGGCTCACAGATGTGGTTAGCAGCTCAGCATTTTGCTTCCTTCAAACCCCATCTCCTGCCAGTGGCTTTACCAGGTTGCTTCCTCTTGTGTACAGGCTGCTTGCCGCACGCGGCCCGGCTCAGCTCAGAGCCTCACAGCGACCCAGCATGGGAGTGGGTTCTCAACCAGTGGCTAGAAAGCAGAGAAATAAGTGTGAACTGGCCAGAAAAAAACCCTGCTGTCCTCAGTCCCGAACACCAGAAGTGGGGATTATGTTAAAAACAGGACATAGATTTCAAGTGTTCATGCTTTAGTGTCTTGAACTGGCTGCTTGTGGCCCCTGGATCTTTCCCAAGGGAACGGAGGACGCGCCATGGGACGGGCAATACCGTGTCATCCTCGGTGCCTAACAAGCCCCAACCTTTCCTGCTCTGTTTCCCTTTTGACGGTCGCGTGCCCGAATCCGTTCTGACACTGTTGTTTCTTCCACCCTGAAGGTGTTTGATGTGCGCTTGAATGGCCACGTGGTGGTAAAGGACTTGGACATTTTTGACAGAGTCGGACACAGCACAGCTCATGATGAGATCATTCCCATGAGCATCAAAAAGGGGAAACTGAGTGTCCAGGGAGAGGTTTCCACGTTCACAGGGAAGCTCCACATTGAGTTTGTAAAGGTAACGAGCCTTGCTGGGCAGAGCCCTGCTTTTTGCTTTTCCACTTCCCTCCTGCTGTGAGATGCAGGAGAGGTGATGGTAGGTGGGGAGAATATTTGTTACCTCGCGCTGCAGCACTGACCCCTTCTCCCCTTTCTCTAGGGCTACTATGACAATCCGAAAATCTGTGCCCTGTACATCCTGCAAGGAACAGTGGAAGGTGAGCACAGTTTCTGAGCCAGATGGCTCTTTCCCCTTGGAGAGCAGCCTGATGCTTCTCAGACTGTGAGATCATAGTTTTTACTGACCCTCCTCTGCCAAAACTGCTTCTCTCTCTAGGCGAGGCCTCTGCAGGAAGCAGTTAGGCTGGAATAGGTGTGTGGGATCTTTCCATTCCTCTGTGGGTGCAGAGCTGCCTGTTTTTTGGAATAAGCCTGGATTTGGTTCATGTCTTCCTGCATATGGGGTAGAGGAGACAAGAACATGCCTGTCTGCCTTGGCTATTTATAGCTGCAGGTAAATTCCCTCTGGCTAATGGATGTTGGCAGCAGCCCTCAGACAAGCAATTTATGGAGACCTTTTAGCTAGTAGTGTGGGGTTTCTCACCTGGAGCCTCCTGAGAACAAGGCAGTTGGTTTTGTTTTCCTCTCCCCCAACATGCCTCCTCACAGCCCTTTTTCTTGTCCGACAGATGTTCCAAAGCTGCAGCCTCATCCTGGCCTGGAGAAAAAAGAGGAAGAAGATGATGAAGACGAATATGATGATAGCTCCAGTGTTAAAAAACAGGCAAATAAGAACCGTGTTCAGTCAGGCCCACGCACACCAAACCCCTATGCCTCAGACAACAGCAGCCTCATGTTCCCCATATTGGTGGCCTTTGGTGTCTTCATTCCTACCCTCTTTTGCCTCTGCCGGTTGTGAGAGCAAGCCCCACCAAGCATCAGCAACGGGGCTGGGAGGGAAGGAGTTGGACCAAACACGGTTGCTTTCAATTTCTCCATACTGTTCATAATTTAAGGAAGGAAAAAAAAAAAAAAAAGATTCACTTGGAATGAATAGTAGATCCGGGTAAGAGGGAGCTTACCTTCCCCCAGCCAGCCAGCAGTGAGGCCCTCGCCTTCCCCTTTGCACCACGTGCAGCATCCAGTCCTCCCTGGGGCACTTGAGAGTAAACTGAGTCCTGGCTCTCTGTGTGTTGGGCTGTTGGAAGCTGATGCTATCAGTCCCGGGCCGTGTCCCACGCTGAGAGGAAGACACGTGCTGCAAGATCTCTGCCTTTGCTGGGTGAAGTAATGGCCCTAAGCCAGGAAGCAGCCGTTAGAACTGGGCCTGCTGCACGTCTTGTCCAGGAGCGTGGAAATGTTGTGGTGCCATTGAGTGACTAACAACTGGAGGACAGAGCTTGGCTCTTCAGCATCTCCCCAGGCGTGTGCAACACAATGTATGGTACTCACCTGCATAAAGATACCAAGACTCCAACTTGCCGCTCAGCCTCTGCAGAGAAGTTTCCCTCCCAAGAGTGCAAGCTGCGCCGGTAGCAGAGGGATTTATATGGCCTGACTTGCTGCACTGGTCGGGAGAGACTTTCCTAGTGTGACACTTGTAACGGCTGATCCATTGCAGAGGGACTCTGCTGTAGCCTGCGAGAGGCTGGTGTTCTGTTAGCATCTGTTCAGGATGCACTTATTTTCTGTATTGATTTTTTTGGCTTTTGTTCCCCTTAATCTTTTTCTTTTCAAAGCCCATTTTAAGCCCAGATCCTTGTCTTGCCCTTTCTAGCAAACGACTCTCCTTTGGAAGAAGCTGAGAACCCAATGACCTAGAAAGAAGGTTCTGGTCTTGTTCCTTGAGCTTTCTCGCTCTGTGACTGTGAGCACCGTGTCCGTAGGATGGAGTGGAGCAAGCCTGCGAGTGCTCCCTGTGAGTGCTCATCCCCCTGTACAGAGCAGGACTGCCTGCAGCACTGGGACTGCAGCGGAGGTGGTTGTGTCTGCAGTTAGCACAGGCTTTTGCATATCAAGATGCCGGGTGAAGGGGCAGATGTCAAACATATCAGTGCTAGAGAAGGTGGTTTGTTGCCCTCCAGAGATCTAGAAGCAAGCAGGATTCTCCGGACGAGGCCCATCGGTTCCCCTGCTTGCCTGGTGACAGGCTGCCGAGCCGGGTCGCCCAGTGTCCCCCACCGGTGTTTCTGCCAGGGGTGCCTGTCTGCACATGCAGAGCCTGTGCCCGCCTGGCAGAGGCTGAGCAGAGAACAGAAGCCCTCGCTGCACCTGCCCATCTCGACCTGCGCGAGCTGGGAGCTGCCCTGCAGCTTCTCTCCTAAACGCTCTGCACCTGGCACCGTAGCACTGAGCAGTGTCCTCTTGGCTTCTGCTGCTTCTCCTTGGACGTGAGTGTTCCTTGATGTGGTGTTTGGGTTTAGTCCTCTGTGGTGGCTGAGTCCTTAACCTTTCCTCAAGCTTAGACGAGTCAGCAAAATTTAAGGAGGAGCCTGTCTGCTCCACTGGACCAAGCAGCTGAATCCATCGCTTCTTCCTAACCCTTGAGGTGTGGGATGTTGCTGGTCTCCAGGCTCTGGGACAGGCGCCTGGGGAGCTGTCACAGCCCCGGTCCCTGCAGCAGCAGCGCTGAACCTCAGCTTTCTGATTGCATACATCACTGCTTCGGGCCTGACACTGATTCTGTGTCTATAAGCTTCAAAGCAGGATCTGAATTAACCTATTCATAGCACGAGTGGAGGAAGCGTGGCCACAGGAACAGCAACAGCAACAGCTTCTGGAGAAGCACAGCAGGGCCGGAGCAAACTGGTGGCAGAGGTCAGGCTTTGGAGGAGGGCAGAGCCTAAGAGCAAACCTTAGGATAAAAAGGCAGAAAGCTTGGAGTTATCTGCTTCATCTTCTAGCTCTGGTTAAAAATCCTTGTGCTTTGAAAACTCTTTAATGCCGGCTCTGTTTATTTGGTGGCTGTACCTGAAAAGACTCCTCAGCGTCTGCTGGGTTGCTCCAACTGGATCACAGAGGTGTTCAGATCTTAATCTGTCTGGAGAAGCATGTACTGCTCTGATTTGTTAGGCAAAGAGCCCAGGCTTGAAAGCAGGAGCAGGCTTCTCCTGGAGGTGTTCTCTTCCACGCCTTCCAGCTTGTGCTTTGAGTGTCCCTGAAGCAGACATTCGCCTGCCCTGTGTCTCCCTTGCCAATGCTCTCTGCACAACATGGGCAAAGGGACCTGTGCCTAGACCTGCAGGGTTGGAGGCAGGTCTCCTAGGGTAGCTTATCCCGGCCTCGCTGGAGCCAGGGTACCCCTTCTGTGTCACCGGGCACCAAGGGCGAAACCATGTGGGGCTTGCACTGCCGTGTTTCTGTTGCTCCGCTCAAGTGGATTGTTGCATTTGAGCAAGAGAAGAGAGGAGGCATCTTTCAGCCTTGCTGGCTTCAGCTGAGTTGTTTGGGCTCTGGTTTACCTGTCCCTGTGACTAGTGCAAAGCTGGCAGTAGCTCTTTAGGTGATCGTGGGGTTTCCTGACCCTGTTTCGGCGCTGTGGGTGTTTTTTTTCGGTCCGTCTCCATGTCAGGCTCGCCTCAGAAGCGCTGTCAAATGAAGTGGTATGGGAGCACGGGAGGCTGGTGCGGACACCGCTCAGCACCTCCTCGGGGAGCTCCCGTGCGCATGTTCGGCTCCTCTTCGTGATCTCCGGCGCCGGTTGGGAGGGTGTCACTGCCGACCCTGCCGGGGGAGAAGCACGGTCGGCTCCACCTTTGTGCCATGGACGTGTGAGCGAGTGTCCGTGGGGCTGTTAACCGAGAGCGGGAAGGCCCAGGCGGCTGCTGCTCTGCCGCTTCCCGGCCGGCCGCCGCGGCAGGAGGAGCCTGTCCCTCTGCAGCAGTGTGCGCGGCTGCAGCAGCCCCAGCTCCGTTCCCGAGGTTCCCACATGGATAGGGGTGGACAGGGCGACCCTAACGGATCCCCTCGCGGTGGGCAATCTTCTGCGCCTGCCTCCAGCCGTGGTTGTAATGCCTGTTTTCATTCCTCTTCCGGCCCTCCGCTCTATCCAGGGATGCGGGGCGCAGCCGACAGTTGTCTTTTACTGTTTGTGTCCTCAACTCTTGTCCCTTTACGCCAGGCCTTCTGTTTTTCCCCTCTGTGTGAGAGACTGGAACAACAGCTCTGACCCGTTGGGGAATCCCAGGTGGCAATGAGCAGAAAGCCAAATAAATTCCCGTCTCTTTTTTTGGTGCCTTTATATTGGGCTTTGAGTAAAAGTCTGTTTGAAAAAAGCTGCTTTCTTTAGGGAGCTTCTGAGGTTTCCTTTCCCAGGGACAGGCCTTCCCTGCCTGTGCTCAGCCAGGGACAATCTCGCTCTCCCTTAATGCCTGCTCCAGAGGTCCCCGTTGAAGCACGGAGCTGCGTGCAAGTCCCTCGGGCTCCAGCCCTGGAGGCCAATGCAAAGAAAGAGCAGCTGGGGCAGAAGAACTGGAATTCCAGGAGCCTCTTCAGGTCTGGTCTCCCTGGGATCTCCTGCAGTCGGCATGGTGGCTGCCCAGGTACCTGTTTGTGTGCGCGCCTCGCAGCGCCTGCGTCGCGGCTGCTCCAGGAGAGCCACGTGCTGCGTGGGGCTCCTGTGTGAAGATCCTGTCCGGCCACGAGTGCCACCGCCCCTAGGTGCCCAAGGGCGTCCCCCTCCAACAGGCCGTGCATCAGGAGCAGCAGCGTGTGCCTTGTGCCTCGGCCTTCCCTCCAGTTGAAATGGGACGGTGGCCGCCAGGGTCGTGTCTTGATGGTGGAAGTTTGGGCTGGATGGGCCTGTTCCAGTGGGAAGCAGCAGGAAGAGGAGAGGACCAGCAGAGCAGCCTCAGCTCTCAGTGCAAGACAGATTTGAGCAGACGTGCCGAGTGTTTCCGACCGCTAAAACGTGGGAAGAGCTGTCTGCTCCTCGCACTCGCGTGCCTGGGAGGGAACGATCCACAAGCGCAGTGGATACAGGAGCTGGCCCAGCACTGAGCTGATTTACCTCCCGTGCTCCTGCATCTCCAGCAAATGCCGAAGCCAAACGCAGCTCACGGACGCTCTTTCCATCAGCCTGGTTCCTCTGGTCTGTCCTCACCGACTCCTGAGCAGGCCCTGGCAGGCGCTCTCAAAGGCACAAACGGGGCACTGAGCCAGAGTGGGGAATGGGCTCCCTGCAGCACCCCCACTCCGTGCGGCATCCCTGCTCCGTGCTCCGCTCCGGCAGGCTGGAACATCCGTGTTTCATCCCGGAACAACAGTGGGGAAGTGGGGCTGGGCCACGGGCAGGAGGAGGAAGCAGGTCCATGTCTTCCGGGACTCTGGCTTGCTCAGAGTTTATTGCTGTATATTAAATACTATTTTTGGAGATTGGGGGGAGATGGGGAAGGGGAGAGGCAGCACTGCCCCTGGGCTGAAAGGTGGGACATGAGTGCGGGTTATCAATAGGTTTTGATTTATTTTTTTTCCAGAAAGTGCTTTATTGAGCAGAGAAAAAAGAAAAGACGGGAGATAAAGGAGAAAAAAAAAAAAAAGTGCTTTCCTCCCTCCTAGGAACAGTGATGGCTGATTAGAAAATATGAATGATCCTTTGCAAACACCAAAGGTCTCAACTCAAAGTCTGTGTGATGGAGACTTCAAGGCAAGGGGCAAAGTGGGGCCAGGAGCAGCTCAATGCGTGACAGCGGGAGGAGAGGTCTCTGCGGCCCCTGCTCACCTGCACACAGGGTTTTGAAGGAGGATATTCTTTTTATCTGCCCGTTGCTTTGTGTTATAACAGCTTGCTGTGACTTTCCTTCCTTTCAGTTAGTTTTACCTCGAGCCAGGGCCCTGGGTGCAGGGCCAGGCTGCCCGGTGCTCATGGCGTGGGCTCAGCCAAGGCCGCTTCGGGACAGGGGAGATGGCGGGGGTGATTTTATTTTTGGTACATGGTAGCTGTTTAATTTTTAAAATTTCCCCCAGGATGTGCGAGTGAGGGGATGCTCTGAAAGCGGCTGCCTGGCTGTGTTCACCAGCAGCACGTGTGAGGAAAATAAAGGAGATTATATTGTCACTGGGGTGAGCAAGCTGCTCTCTTCTGGGGCTGGGGTGACTTTGTGCATGGGCCCTGAGGGGACAGCGGGCTGTGGCGGAGGGGACAACCCCACCCCAGGGCTATCCCCGGGTTCTGGTGGTGCTGGGGGAGATGCCGGGGTGCCTCGGTCCAGGGTTGGCGCTGCTGACAGCCGTGATGGTGGAGGCTGCTCTGCACTGCTGAGGAGGCCTCAGGGGAGGGTGCCAAGGGCTGGTCTTGAGGAGCCCCTCTGGTCCCTCCTGGCTGCCTCCATCCCACTGCCAGAGCCGGCCTTGGGTGGTGGGAAAACCACTGCAAAAACCCTTTCAAAAAGGCTGGGGCCAAAGCCCCCTGTTCCTTGCCTTTCCCACTGTGCTGGAGGGCTCCACCTGGGACTAAACTAAGGAGTGCTGTGGCGCTGGAAGCGGCTGCTCTGGCCGCGCTTTGCGGGTACGATGGGCAAGCAGCCAGGACGGGCATGTGCCG